CCCCCCCCCACCCCCACCCCACCCCCCATTGCTCACCTCAAGCGTATCGTAGGCCTCCTGCAGGAAGCCCGTCGTCTCTTCGAGCTGCGCACGAAGGAACAGCGCCCACGCCAACGTCTCCTCCGGCTCCTTGTCCCCGTCTTTCTCACCCTCAGCAGTCGGAAACCTCCCGGTCGATCGGAGAGACTCAACAAAACTGTCAGGATGACCCCAAAACACAAGTACCCGCCAAGTTTTTTCGGTCGAGTGAAAGTGGTCCGTGGGAGGGAGGGCAAGACCGCGACGCTGGGCAAAGGTGTGCAATGTGGTTCATCTGCGTCGATTCTCAGTACTCTTGAAAAACAACAACAAAAAAACACGCACATACACACAAGGTCAGTGTACGAATACAGCGCAGTGCCTGTGTGAAGTCGCAGAGACTACCAAGGTATAGAAAAGCCGTGGGCGTGGGTAGATACACAAGATCGGTTCATGACTCCGCCATGGCTCCGCTGGTTTGATCTAGTCTTCTTCGCGGCTCTCCGAACCCGGAGGGAAGCACGCAAAAAAAAACATCACCGGCAGTTTTCAACCATGCGAGTACGAAGCAGCTCAGACTGGCCGCGTTGGGCAACAGTCGGGGCAAAACCACCAGTACCGAAGCCCCCCCACAGAGCGCAAAAAAAAGTCACAAGGTTACACAGAAAACTGATTCCATAGCCAATATTCACCTTTTCGTCAGGTCCATGACCATCTGCTGAACAGGGTGGTTCCGCAGATCGAAGGCGTCGGAAACCACGGGGGATGGTCTCCCCAGCTTCTCCTCTCCCCCATCCGCGTCACCCCCTGCCGTTACAGACGGCGGGGCCCCCTGTCTCTCGAACACGGAGGAAAGGTCGGTGCCCAGAGAGGGTACACCCTTGCGGAGGTAGCGCCGCATGTACGCGTCTGCCACATCCAACAAAGCCGCGCGCGCGCGCACGGGAGACAACCGGCGAAAAAACGCTCAAAAACAAGAACATCACGCCAGACCACCCCAACGCGAACATACAAGCGAGAAAGAAGCAAGAAAAAAGCAGCCGTTCGTCGTAACTATCTTCGATTTTTGCCCACTCTGCAGCCACCGAACTGCGCGTGCTGGACGGATCTACCCTGCAGGCGACCACTCGTTGCACACTACGGAGCGTTCTAGAACTGCAAGCGTTTGGTGTGAAGCTGTCGTTGCCATGGGATGTAAGTATGAAGTGAACGGAAATCAACGGCAAAACTAGCAACATGCCGTGAGGGGCAACTCCAGCTCAAGGATTCAAACAGCGCATTAGGGCCCTCCATCGTACTCGATTGGGAGATGAAGATAAGCTCCGGTTAGGGCTAGGGTTAGGGCTAGGTGGTCCTCTTCCAGCGCCGGTACAGAGGCAAGCCTGCCGTCATTCTGCTCAGTATCGCTCGCAAGTACCCAAGATACCTCTCAGGGATACCTCTCAGGAAGGCCCTCAACGACATGTCTACAAAACTAAACACCCTTTTCAGCGGTAGTACCCCTGTAGCCTAAACTGAAAACAAAAAAAAAACACGGGGGTGCCATCTATCCGCCTCTTACAGCACACGACATATCGTAGGGAGTGCGCAAAAAAAAAAAAGGTTCGTATCGCCTTCGTGAGTTCGTCACAATGTATCGCACACTACCGGAGTTATGGTACACGAGGGTGTGCGGCATCAGGGCAGCAGAACCGAACGACAAAGATGAATGTTCTTTGAACAGGGGGGGCGGGGGGGGGGGGGTACTCATAGTCGTGCATGCCGTAGTCGTTAGACCATTGACCTCGCATCCCTACAAAGCCGGGACGGAGCACGCCGGGTTCTCACCGGACCAGGCTCTCACATCACCAAGCGCGAAGCGCCGTGAGATATTCGGCGAGTCGCATGAAGGGTGCGCTGCATCCTGCTAAGGGTGTTCGGCATCTTGTGCTTACTTCCTTGCGTACGGATGACAGCTGCGTATGAATTAATTTATTTTCTGGTGCTTTCACTTCCAGAGACAGTTGTAAGCACTGTGTAACTGCCTCGAGGGTGCTTGACCATTTTAACACAACGTGGTGCGATCATCCCCCTTGCGCGGAGTGAGGGTTCTCCACCCCGCACAACATGATCTACTCGACCACCATTATGGTTACCGCCAAAAAAAAAAACGGAGGTAAAAAAAAAAAACGGTAACCTGGTTGCCGAGTTCACGAAGTGAATTGGCTTGTTTTACAACGTCTTTGCCAAGCGACGAAAACCCAATCCCGATGGCAAACACCGGGGGGGGCGGCTTGTTTTACAACGTCGTTGCCAAGCGACGAAAACCCAACCCCGATGGCAAACACCGGGGGGGGCGGCACAGGGGTAGGAGTAAAACACACCGTGACGCAACACAGGACAAATCACGAAAAAAATGAGACATGACAGAAAAACAGGAAGAAAAAAATAAATAAAAATCTCGCGTACCTGCCTACGTTCGTCACGCGAGTACCCGCCCCCCCCCCCCCCCCCCCCCCCCCCCCCCCCCCCCCCCCCCCCCCCCCCC